CGGATCCAGAGATATTTTCTGACTGTATTCCATATTATCTTTGTTGATCCATCCTACATTTTTGATGGTCTTCCAACAGAAAAAACAGATACCCATCAATGTTAACTTTAAAATCTGACTGTCATCTGAAAGACTCAGAAGAAAGTATCAATCCGCCCCTGCAATAAGATTACAGTTTCAGGACCATGAGAGTTCAAATTAACATGAAAATCCCAATATTTGAAAAATGATGACAGTGCATAAAATAATATTACATAATGTTTAAAGACATAAAAACTAATGCAATTGCTTATGTGGAAAGAGCTTCAGGTGGATGGGAGCTGAAAATGCCAGTGTTTGAAAAATAAATTTAAAAGAAAACACACACACAAAAAAAATATATATATATATATATATATATATATATATATATATATATATATATATATATATTATGCCAGCTATGTAAAGTAGGTCAGAAAGGTGGATAACAAGAGAACAGGTCATGTGTTTTCTGGCGTATTTGTGGTTAAAAGGACATCCACTTATCACTGGTTTATCTCTCAGTCAGGTTTAGATCAGGTAAATGGGTCAAACCACTGAAAAGAAGATCATGCTTATGAGGTAAATATTGACAACATATTTTGTTCTCATGTTCTCATATTGTGCTTTTAGGGTTTTTTTTAAATACTACTTCATCTTAGGGTGATGTTTGCCAGACTGACAACAATTTTTTTTATGATTTAGAGGCAATTAGAAAACACTCCAGTACACACATACTTTTACGAAGGAAAACGGCAATTATATTGATAGAACTATGCAATTAGGGCTCAAAATTTACTTTTTTTGCATCTTTGTCTCCTAAATAAATAACTGTCTATCCCTAAAATCTTCTCAAAACTTCCTGAGGTATTTTTCCAAGATATATATAGATAAACCAAATTAAGCAGTACAAAGAATTCCCTTCAATGACAGAGACTCTGTATACATAACGCACATGGTTGCCAAGGATTATAACCGTAATGCTTATTAGTATGAGGTCATTATAAATTTAATACCAACACTTCAGTTTGTACATCCAGGTCCAACTTTTGTTTTAGTAATATCATTAAAAATACAGCAGTGAGTCAATACCAACATGTCTATACTCCACAATCCCTTTCTTAATTTTAATTCACTTTCTTTATAAATTGATTTTTAAATATTTTGATAGCACAATTGTCTGTGGAATTTAATAAATGTTCAATGTTTAAGTTTCCTTTTTTATTAGTTAATTTATAAGCCAATAAAAAAAAGGGTGACGTTTCAAACAAAGGCTATAGGGAGTTACATCATCAGAGACATGCAGTTAGGATTGAGACCTACAGCACTCTGCTTTCAATGAGATATAAATATACAAGTCATACAAGTTTAAACTGGGGATCCTGGCACTTTAAGCGCCAAAACAGTATTAAAAATACATTGAAGTTTCACTCAATTCATGGCCCTGGGATTCAAAGGCTTGATTAGCACCTGAAGAATTATATGGACACATAGAATTTAATTTAAGCCAATAAGACGGATATGCACGTCATTACATTTTTATTTTGAGGGTACTTCTTAATTATACTGATCGACTTAACGTATGTAAAGAGACTATAAATGTCAGGACTCGCCTATCTACTCAACATACATTTGGTTTGGGAGACCTTCCCTGTTTCACTGGAGAGATATATCCTTGAACATCAAGTGAAAAAAATATCTCTCTCTGTCCTTGTGATCAAGTACATATACAGGCCATACATTTTTTATATTCTTCTACACTAAAAAAATGGCAAAATACCAAAATCGATATTTATTTCTATGAACAGACATGTGTCAATGAACCACAATACAAAACAAGGGTGGCATTTAGATTACTGTTTGCAGAATACTGATAAGCTTTCAACCCGAGATATGGGTCTATGTTATTAGTTAACGAGATCACCAAAGTTTATCAAATGTCTGACCTTGAGCGAACTCTACATATCACAGCTGCGACATCAGTGGTATGCAGTCTGCGTATACGCCTGTGACTGTGATATATCTGCACCAGAATAGTTCACACCAAACGCTGTGAAAAGATTTTTTTTTTTTTTAATGCAGGAAGTGACAAATTGATGTAACTTAATTTAGAGCCCACTGTGTGGGGTACAAGGCAGAGTGGGGGGGGGGGGGGTCTTCCTGAAAATTTTTTTCATAATGTTTTCTGTCTAGAAAGAGTTCTCACTTAAGCAATAAAATAGTAATACCACTTTTAAAGTGATTTATGTGATTTTATCTCTCTCTCTCTCTCTCTCTCTCTCTCTCTCATCAAGGCTCTTTATTTAATAAAGCCTTTAACAAGCCTAAGCAAAATATCATGCCTGTTGCAAACTTTCCTGCAAATTTGCACAAAAGTAATTTTATGTTCTTGCAAGTTTGCTGCAAATTAGCAGCAATTCAAATTTTCTTGCCAACTCCTGCAAACTGATCTTGTTCCAAACTTTGCAGCAAATTTGCACTTTTGCTAAAAAATACCTATATATATTTAATGGCTCACCCACTCCAGCCTTGGTATAAGGCGTGGTGAGGGTGCTACATATGTTACACTACACATCTGATCAAAACACCATCTTCCTGACTGCAATCACTTCCCAATGTGTCAACAAAGTAAATTCTCTTCTCTACAGCTCAGATATTGATCCCAGAACCTGGGTCTAAACAGATTCTGATGTAATCACAGATTTATTAATAGGAACCTTTCCACAATGTTTTTTTTTTTTTTTTTTTTTTTTGCCTCTAGCCAGCAATTTCAAAGGAGACCCTTTTTTGTAAAAAAAAAAGTTGACAGTTCTTCTTTACCCCTTTAGTTGTAATGTCAATAGACAATTCAGAAATGAACATAACCATATTATGAGACAGTTAATGTTATGGCTGTGAGATATACAAAAATGTATATATACCTGATCTATATAGAGGTTTAATTGGCATTTTAATTGTATTTATTTGAAGTAAGTTAGAAACCTGCCAAGTCCTGAATTAAACACAAACAACCAAGTTAATTAGAAGTTTGCAGCAAATTTGCATTTTGCTAAAATACCTACTACATGTAGTATACTGGGGTATATATATATTGGCTCACCCACTCCAGCCTTGGTATAAGGCATGGTGAGGGTGCTACATCTGTTACACTACACAACTGATCAAAACACCATCTTCCTGACTGCAATCACTTCCCAATGTGTCAACAAAGTAAATTCTCTTCTCTACAGCTCAGATATTGATCCCAGAACCTGGGTCTACACAGATTCTGATGTTATCACAGATTTATTAATAGGAACCTTTCCACAACGGTTTTTTTTTTTTTTTTTTTTTTTTTTTG